AGTCAGGAGTCTAGGCTTGATATTCACGTTAAAATACCCGACTGGGACATCTCTAGGAACGGGAAGAAAATGCTTCAGTTAACCACCAGATGGAGCTTTGGTGTCTACTGTTTGTTTGAATGGTTTCCAGCTCTCTAGCATATAAAAAAAGCTCTTGCAGGGTTTGTATTTCTTTTTTCTGACGGATTTGATCCGTGCGTTCAAACGGAGAAAGAACAAGGGACTAGCCAACAATACTTGAAGTATTCACTGAAAAAAGATGCCCAGGTTCTTCTACTTTTGAATTTTGGTCAGCGTGTTAAGAACCCATGAAATGGCTCAGCCAGTGAACTCGCTTGTCGCAGAAATCACAAGGTGGAAGGAGAGAGCCTACTTCCCAAAGTTTAGTTGTCCTCTGACCTCCGCACACAAACAAACACAAAAAAAATCGTAATTTTACACTTTCAAGTGTCTCTCTAGGCTGCTGGTGGCTGCTCTCATTTGTGCCCTCCGGGGGGGGGGGGGGGGGGAGGGCAGGCCAGCTTAAGTTACACTGCAAACTGTAGATCCTTCTGGGCTACAGAAGAGACACCGTCTCAAAACCCTAAAAATTATCCATGTATGACAATACTTGGTCCATTCCTATAATCCCAGGGTCAAGGAAGCTGAGGCCGGAGGATGAGGTTTGAGAGCCACTTGAGCTACTTAACGGGTTCCAGAATAGCCTGAGCTACCACCACTAAGATGCTATCCGAAAAAGAAAAAAAAATAAAGGTCTCCATCCATACACTTTATGTCAATTTTGTTCCCCGCGAATCCCAGAAAGACATCACTCTCTTGAAAGGGTTGTAAGATTTAGACGAATTCAGCATCCCAGAAAGACATCACTCTCTTGAAAGGGTTGTAAGATTTAGACGAATGTAATGCGGTTAGTTGCGGTTGAATTCTTTAGAACTCTAAAAATGATAGTTACAGCAATATTGTCCACTAATGTAGAAAATATTCAAGACTATAAATGTCATCCTCAGTCCCTGCTCTCCCTACCCAAGCTTCAGAAGAGAAGATGGAATTAAAAGACCTAGAAATTCCTTAGGAACCAGTTCTATCAGGAATTAAACTCGCGCTCTTCATTCTACCCCCGGAGCCGTAAACTCGATGCAACCCGCAAGCTTGCGCGGCTCCGCCCCCTTAAGCCTGTCCGCGCCACCGGAGGTCGCTCAAGCTCCTGCTCCGGGTTTACCCTGGGCGCAGGCGCAATAGGGATTGGCGGGTTTGAATACCATGGCGTGGGTTCCAGCCGAGTCTGCGGTGGAAGAGTTGATGCCACGGTTGTTACCTGTGGAGCCCTGTGACTTGACGGAAGGCTTCGATCCCTCGGTGCCCCCCAGGACGCCTCAGGAATACCTGAGGAGGGTGCAGTGAGTGATTTTTCCCCGTGAGAGTGGACTGGGAATAGACCCGTGCCGCGCTTGACCCTCCTTGGGCGACAGTCCCTCCTCTGTTTGGGTTCCTATCTCTCGGGAGGTCTAGGATGTTTAAGATCCCTGGATTACAAACTCCGTTGGCAAATGTCCTTTGAACTTGATTTGCACGTTAAAAGGTGTGCTCTTAAATCTCTCTGCTTTTAATCTAGATAACACCAGGCGTTTTGTTCTTTAATTGGGAGTCTGAGTTTTATTTGCGATTTCATAGTGAAGAGGCATCTATTGTACTACACGCGAGACACGAGCAAAGCACAATAATAAATTTCGCACATGTATTACTTGTAGGATCGAAGCGGCTCAATGTCCAGACGTTGTGGTAGCCCAAATTGATCCGAAGAAGTTGAAGAGGAAGCAGAGCGTGAATATTTCTGTGAGTTTTACTAACCGACTGGGAATATTCTCACCACACACAAATAACTGACGCTTTTCCTGTCTTATCAAGAATATGAGCTGAGTTGGGCGGTGGTGGTGCAAGTCTTGAATCCCAGAACTCCAGAGGCAGAGGCAGGTGGATCTCTGATTTTTGAGGCCTGCCTGATCTACAAAGCTAGTTCCAGGACAGCCAGGACTGTTACACACAAAAACCCTATCTCAGGGCAGGGGAGCAGTATCAGTTATGGTGTGTAGGATAAGATTGGATTGCTCCCTACAAAGTTAAACACCACTTGGAGGCCAGCGCATTTTGATTTGGAGGCCAGCCTGCATCATGAGACCCCTCTGAAAAATGTGTCTGTGTCTCATTTAAAAGATTACACACACACACACACACACACACACACACACACACACACACACACACGAAAAAAAGTACTTCAATTGTTTACTTATGCTGACCTTTATAAGTAAATTATGAAGAAATTTTTTTTTCTGGCTGTGACTTTTTAGTTACTATCAAACCGGTTCGTGGTGCCCCATTCTGCATTTTACCTGGTATTGTCTCAGAATGAAAACACAAATGTCTTATCATCTTTCTATCCTTTCCATGCATACTCTGTTCTTTATTCATTTGCTTATCCAGCACACTTTTTATTAAGCAATTAAGTTGCACTGGGCACTAGGAACACAGCAGAAGATAGTAGAGAAAAGGCCCCTACAGACCAGGCATGTTGGGGGTAAGCACCCTTCTAATCCTAGCACTTGGAGATAAGAGACAAGAGAGTTAGGAAGTCCAGGTCATTCTCTCTACATAGAGAGTTCCAGGTAGCCTGGAATATATGAGACCCTCATCCTTGAGAGACTTACTGTATGTGAAAGTTGTCAGGATCAAAGTATAGTATAAATGTTGTATCCATCCTAACAAAATAATAAGTAAGGCTGGGAAGTTAGGACATGTTCTTCTGGCTTTATTCATTTGCTTATCCAGCACACTTTTTATTAAGCAATTAAGTTGCACTGGGCACTAGGAACACAGCAGAAGATAGTAGAGAAAAGGCCCCTACAGACCAGGCATGTTGGGGGTAAGCACCCTTCTAATCCTAGCACTTGGAGATAAGAGACAAGAGAGTTAGGAAGTCCAGGTCATTCTCTCTACATAGAGAGTTCCAGGTAGCCTGGAATATATGAGACCCTCATCTCAGAAAGAAAAAAATGAAGAAAGTTCCCCATGCTTGTACAGTTACAGTCTCCTAAAGGACACAGAAAATAACCAAATAATTATATCATCTTGTCATTGCATGGAGAAAATAAGCAGCACTCAATAAATATAGTAACTATAGGACTATGTCTCTCTTTTTTGTTTCTCTTCACTATTATAGAAAAATAGAATTAAGTTATATCCTTCAGGTTCATATCATTCATATTTCATAGAAACTTCACCCACAACATTCAGTCCACATTTTTCTAAGAAAAATGATGAAGGATCTCTTTTTATTTTTAATGATTTATTTATTTTTATTTCATGTGCATTGGTGTTTTGCCTGCATGTATGTCTGAGGGCCTCAGATCCCTTGGAACTGGAGCTGCAGACAGTGGTCAGCTGCCATGTGGGTATTGGGAATTAATCCCGGATCCTTTGGAAGAGCAGTCAGTGCTCTTAATCACTTAGCCATCTCTCTAGCCCCAAAGGATATCTTTTATTGACTTGTCCAAGGATTGTAAAATGAACTACCTGCTTTTCTGCTCTGATAAAATACACCCCTATTCTCTTAAATAATCTCATCATTCACTAAAACATATTTACTCTTCATCATGGTTTTCGTCTTACTCTACATAGGCATAGATTCTAGTTACAGCACTAAAACTGACTGATTTCCAGATTTCAGGATGCCAGCCTGCCCCTGAAGGTTATTCTCCAACACTTCAGTGGCAGCAGCAACAAGTGGTACAGTTTTCAGCTGTTCGACAGGCAAGTGTTCCTTTAAATCAAATTAAACCTCCTTCAGGTGTTATAGTTCTTAGACTATAATTGGGAAAATTATAAATGTACAAGTATTTATTAATCAATTACCAAATTATTCTAATCGTTAGATATATTTAGTATGTATGTATTTTCTAAATTTTAGGGTAGTTGGAATTTTGTACAAAACTTGTTTCTTTCTAGTTTTTCATTCTCTGAAGATGATTAACCTTTCTTCCTTTAGAGTGTGAACAAGCATAGAAATCACTGGAAATCTCAGCAGTTGGATAGCAATGTGACAATGGTATGTGAATTTCTTGGCTTAAGTTGTCCAGTGCATGCTTGTGTGAAATAATCCATATTCTAGTCTTTAAAGAGTTAATTGCTTAGTCTGCATTATTTTTATTTTCCTTCATATGCCAATGTGTATGTATCAGTTTTTTATAGTAGTAGCCTGAGTCAGTTCATGTTTTCGTTTTGTGAGGATTTTTGTTTGTTCATTTGTTTTTGAGACAGGGTCTCACTATATTGCCCCAGCTGGTGTGGAACTCATTATGTAGACTAGGCTAACCTGGTCTACAAGGGATTTGCCTCCTTCTTCTTCTGGAGTGCTGGAATTAAAGGCATGTACCACCAAGCCTGACCCATGACTGTTTTAATTCACCTTATCTTGAGAGACTTACTGTATGTGAAAGTTGTCAGGATCAAAGTATAGTATATATGTTGTATCCATCCTAACAAAATAATAAGTAAGGCTGAGAAGTTAGGACATGTTCTTCTGAATTATTGCCTAATAATAGCCATAAAAGACTGTCAAACTGCACTCTTGCACAAGACCACCACCACCACATTACACAAAAGTACTTCCAAGTCAGGAGTGGTGGCACTCTCCTATAATCGCAGCACTCTGGAGGGTGAAGCTGGAGGATAATAAGTTTGAGACCAGTAAGAGTAATTTAAAGGTCAGCCTAGGCTGTGAGGTAATCTTATCCCAAAAATCAAGTAAACAAAATACTTCTACGAGGACATCTGCCCAGCTGCTGTCTGTTCACCCTCAGACTGATTTTTCAGAATGTTTGCTGTGGTCCTTTTCCTCACCCTCTTTAAGTGTCCTAGAGTTTCCTGTGCTGCATATTTTTCTTTGAAGTGCTAGCTATTGAACTCGGAGCTTTGCATATGCTAAGTAGTTCTTACCCCTGGCCTTTGGTTTCTTAAAACAAGGTCTACTGTGTAGCTCAGCCTAGCCTTAAACTTGGAATCTCAAGTCTCTACCTCCTGAGTCCTGGGAAAGGCATGTGCTGCCATGCGGGCGTCTCTCTACTTTTTCATTTAGGTTGACAAATGGTGACTGTGTGACCTATACAGGCTTTTAAGGATTTTTCTAAACTGTTGCATTCTTAGAATATAAATATATTTGGGGGATCTAAAAACACTGAAAGGGACTTAGTAGATTTTCTTAGTGAGATATTATTGTCATGCAATGAACACATTTATACTGCTTGACAGTAACTTGCATAATAGTGAAGCCTGTGGTCTACATTGGGAGATACTGCTTTCTGTGTCATAGCAGCTTAGGTATAATTAAGCCCTTCAAATATTTAGCAGTTAAAGATTGGAATTGGGGGAGAGATAAATACATTGTTCTGGGCAATTTTCTGTTTTCTTTCTTTTTTTTTTTTTTTTTTTTTTTTTTTTTCCAAGCAGGGTTTCTCTGTGTAAACCCCGTCTGCTGGCTGTCCTGGACCTCTTTTTGTAGGCTGGGCTGCCCTCAAGCTCAGAAATCCTCCTGCCTCTGTCTCCCAGTGCTGGGATTAAAGGCCTGTGCCACCACTGCCCAGGTGGCAATTTTCTTAAATTTTCTAGAGAGTCATACGTCTAATAAAGTGATGAAAGCTATTTATCTTCTGAAAGAGAGGAAAATGTATCTTTATGACCCAAGTTCCCCCTTATAAATAGACCAGTCAGGGGCCAGTGAGATGGCCTTTCTGAAAGAGAGGAAAATGTATCTTTATGACCCAAGTTCCCCCTTATAATGTATCTTTATGACCAAGTTCCCACCAGTCAGGGGCCAGTGAGATGGCTCAGTCTTTGAAGGCAATTGATGGCATGAGCTTGATCTTCAGGACCCACATAGTGGAAGGAAAGAACTGACTCCTTCAAGTTGTTCTCTGATGTGTACACACACACATGAATAGTAGGAATCTTCAACTTCTCTGATGTGTAGACATACAAATAGATAATAAGAATTGGTTTGGGTTTTTGGAAAAGAGGCCGTCAAGTTGAATTAGAGTTCACTCTGGCAGTTTTAAAGGTCATATCTCCAAGAGCAGCCACAGCCTACAGTTCTGGCAGTTAGGGCTTCAACATAGGAATTTGGAGAGCAAAGATAATTATGTGCTTAATTACTAATACCATGTCTTCAAGTTGGGGTAATCAAGATATAGGGAATCCTCATCTTTTTCAGTTTGGGCAGTGATGGTGCATACCTTTAATTCCAGCACTTGGGAGGCAGAGGTAGGCAGAACTCTGTGAGTTTAAGGCCAGCATGGTCTATAGAGCAAGTGCCAGGACAGGGTCGAAAGCTACACAGAGAAACCCTGTCTCAAAAAGAAAGAAAGAAAGAAAGAAAGAAAGAAAGAAAGAAAGAAAGAAAGAAAGAAAGAGAAAATGAGCCAAAATTTTTTATTTGTTTATTTCTTGCATTTGAATTTCCCTTCAGTGACATATTTGCCCCACCTCCTTTTTTTACTGTTCAGTACAAAAATAAATAAATAGAAATAAGTAATTTTTTTTCTTTTCAGCCAAAATCTGAAGATGAAGAAGGCTGGAAAAAATTTTGTCTGGGTGAAAGGTTATATGCTGAAGGGGCTATTGGACCCTCTACAAATGAAAGTCCTGGGATTGATTATGTACAAGTAGGTGCTGATGTTGATAAACACAAGAAGTGAAAGAAGTACAGACATTGATTAGTGTATTAGTAATATATCAGTTCACAGCTTCCACCAAATTCAAACCACAAACTGTTTGTGTACACCTCATGACCTAAGAGTGCTTGCTCTTTTTCACAGGTTGTTAAAAACAAAACTGGATATGACTAAGACAAGTTTTTAATGATTGGGCATGGATTAAACATTAAGTTACAAGTAGTCAGAAACACAGGAAAACATGATAATTAGAAAACACTTGCTCTGGTTGGCTTTTTGCTTTTTTCACATAGGAACTCACTGTGTAGCCCTGGATGTCCTAGAACTAACTCACTTTGTAGACCAGTCTGGCCTCAAACTCACAGAGATCTGCCTGTCTTTGCCTCCCAGCACTGGGATTAAAGGTTTGTGCCACTACCACCCAGCTCAATTAGGAATTTAAGTTATTAATAAACTTATTCTGCAGATGAGATATTAAGAGTATATTTAAATTTTTTCGCAAGTTTGTGGAGAATATTGAGACAGTCTTGCCCAGGGCTGTCCTGGAAGTCACTGTGTCTGTAGCCTGGGATGATCTCGATCTCATAATCATCATGACACACCACCCAAACTATGTATATGGCTACAATCATAAGTTTTGTGTCTAACTCCTTGCTCTTCATAATTGACCTGCTTCTAAGTTTGTAGATATTCCCATAAAACCCATTGTGAGGGCCAGCAGATGACTGTGTAGGTGGCATTTGCCACCAAGCCTGACAACCTGAATTCAATCCCCAGAACCCACATGGTAGAAGAAGAAAATCAACTCCTGTCTTCCCATTTACACACACACCATGGCACATGTTTGCCCACCCACATACACTCAAGAAAAATACATATATACATTTTTAATTTTTTAAGACCCCCTGTATAGATCTGCATTACTGCATTTAATATATATATAGTTTGCTTGTTTCATTGTTGTTTTGTTTGGTGGGGTTGTTTGTTGAGAATTCCTTTTGTTTTTAGGTGTATTGGTGTTTTGCTTGCATGTATGTCTGTGTGAGAGTGTCACATCCCCTGGAACTAGAGTTATCAGATAGTTGTGAGCTACCATGTGGTTGCTGGGAATTGAACCAGGGTCCTCTGGAAGAGTAGCCAATGTTTTTAACCTCTGAGCCATCTCTCCAGCCTGTTTTATGTTTTTTGAGGTGGGGTCTCACTATGTAACCCTGGCTAACCTGGAACTCAAAGATGTCTATCTATATCTACCTTATGATTGTGGGGATCAAGTGTATGTGCCACACCCCTAGACTCTCCATATTAAATTTCTATTTAACAGATAACTTTTTGGTATGCAGTGCCATATTTTTGTTTTTCCTGTTTAAAACTACTTCCCAAGTTAGGCCTAGTGAGTACAGTAAAAACAGTAAAAAACCTTGTTCTCAAAATGTAAAAGGCGCTCTCTCTCA